AGTTCAACACGCATCAGCGGAAAAAAATTAGTGCGGTATGAAAAGTATATACCAAAGAGCAGTTTTGACGAAAAGGCAAAACTGAAAGGTACTAGGACTGTGGACGATAGGAGTGCTAACCCTCTTATGGAAATGGGAATGCTCTGAGTGAGTAAACTGTGATTAAGAACGTGTTAAAACCGGTGCTTAAAAGAATATGATGAATTAAGGAAAAGCCTCGACAGAATCTGGCGGCTCCGAGTGGCAAGTCGTTCGCGAGAACACCAGCCGAATCCAGAGGTGTCCAACTAAAGTCAATTAGAATGGCGCCGAGTGTAATGAAAACTGGCCAGACTCCAGCACCAAAGTCCAGTCCAGAAACAAGTGTAAGCGTTTTTTTAATTGTTTGTAACGAAGCAGGCGTAAAGGCCTAAACTCCCGATATACCTGATCTCTTGTAATAATTGCGGAGATGAATATATTGGCGAAACGGGCAGATCTTTGTGTATCCGTATAAAAGAACACCTAGACGGCAGACGAAAACTAAGACGAAGCACCCCACTAGGTACGCATAGGATACAAAAGAATAGCGGAGACGATTTTGAAGTAAAAGTCAATATCCTCACGCAGGAGACTAAAACACCAGTGCAAAAACTTCAGGAGGCTGTTTGGACAAATGCCAAAAACCCTACAATGAATAGTAGGGAGGAATGCCCAGAGGTCATACGCGACCTGATCCCCTATGTTCGCATAATTTCTGATGTGGGTTGGTGCAGTCGTCAACCACATGCGACTATAATCAGCTGTTCTAATCTAAACTTCCTCATTGGAAGCCACGAAAAAGCGGTGGGTTTTTCGAGAAGCTGTTGATCATGTAATTACCAAAGAGTCTTTCGTTTTTTTGTAAGTGTTATTGAAGCGTTTGGCCTAGTAGATTGTATATCAGTATACCCTTCCAGGCTCTGAAGAAGGCGATGCTGCCGAAACGTCAGCTAGCGTTGTATTGTATTGTGTTTTCTTTATGGAAGTAAATGTATGCTGTTTGAAAACCTCGCGATTGCTGAACAAGAAAACGACGCATCCATATTCCAATGCCGAGGTTACTAGAAAGTCTATCCTGGGAGCTATTTTCGATGTCAAGTTCAGCGATTCCTCTTTCTGCTTTCTTTCTGTGCAAGCAATGGTGGCTGTTCGAAATATTTTTCTCACAAAGGTCCTCGCTGTGTACGAAGGATGGGACGAGAAGTAATGAACCAGTATGTTCTCACTACTTCGTTTTCGGCACCATTTTGTATTATAGCCAGTTTCAGATAGGTTAAGTTAAACGTTAAGAAAGTGGAAGCTAGTTCGCTTTTGGTTTCTCTGGCATGCTCAGTTGGATACTTGTTTGGCCCGTCTTCACTAGTTGTGCGAGCTCCAGCACAATTTCCATTGTTTCCGAGTTTTCCTCGTTTAGCTATTGTGGTTTCCTATTGTGGTTTCCTATTGTGGGTTGTGTAGTTCGGAGATCAGCCACTCCAAAGTCTGCCCCAGGGAGTCACCACCACAGGCAATGGCCATCCTTGTGGATCAGAGGGAGATTTTCCACTATGGGACTAGTTTAATGGTGGATCCTGGCACTGATTTACTCTCAGCCGAATTTCCTAAGGGAAACGCCGGACTCCTCAGCTTGGGAGACACTGGTGGGATGAATTCCCCACCGTACATCGTAGCCCGACACCCAGAAACACCTCCAGGCCATGATGAGGCGGTAAACTGTTGGGAATATATATACACCTTGGGCGCTCAATGAACATCTAAAACGACGTGAAGTGGGGATTTCACAACGGAGATAAGGGAGCGAGACCAGAATATCCGTGCCTGCAAAATACCTAGTGATTGAATGGTAGGACCAAAACTTCGTGCAGAAATGAAACCACACAGCTCTCCAATCGCAAACAGGAATTAGATGTGCCTGAGATGTCAAGAGAACATTAAAGAACAATCGTATTTTTTACCTAAACATATCTTTCTGGAGGAATACAAACTGGAGACGAAAGATAAATGGAGCCATTTTATGATGAATAAGCTAAACAATAAATGGACCTCCCAAGTCCGACTTTCTATTAACCTCGGCATTGATTGAATATATCTTTCTGCTTCTGTTCAGCAAACACGAGGTGCTATTTTATTTCTTTATTTACGCACAAGCTGACGTTTCGACGGATTTCGCTTTCCTCAGAGCCTGGAAGGGTCAAGTTGACAGCAATCCACTCGGCCAAACACCTCCATAACCAAACAGAGAAAGCTCTAAACCAAGATTTCAATCACATTTGAGTCTTCCACTGAGTATATCGCGTGAAGACCGACCGCACAGAATTCACATGGAAGCGTAATGTGCCCTCCCATCAGAATAACAGGTTTATATACTGTCCAATATCACGCGTGATAACAAGGCATTCCTCCCTGCAGTTCATTTTCGGATTCTTGGAATTAATCCAGAATGCCTCTAGAGTTTTGCGCGCTTGTGTTTTCGATTCTTGCGCGAGGATCGTAACCCTTACTTCAAAATCTTCTCGGTTATGTTTCTGCTTGTTATGCGTACTTAGTGGAGTACTTAGCTTACGTTTGCCGGCTAGGTGTTCTTTTATACGTACGCAGAGTGGTCTACCCGTTTCGCCAACGTATTCGTCCCCGCACGCTTTACAAGAGATCAGATAGACTGTACCCGAACTCATGCAATCACCGTCTCTACCATTGGGGCAAATTATGCTATTTTGCGTTGCACATAGACGGTCGTATAGGGGTTACGAACTAGCTGGCGCCTTAGATTATTCGGTGGTATTTCAATTATCGTTATCGAATTCTCTAGACTGGCCCTTCTTAAACAGCGTTTTATAGCTGCACTTACTTCATTTGAAATAAAGGGCAGTATAAACGGGACCTTGTTGTCGCTAGAGTTATCGTTGGGGTACCTGTGGTTTCCTCTACACCTATCTGGAGCTACGGTTTCGTAGCCATTAAAAATGGCTATTTGCCGCGCCAAGTTCCGGGACTCCTCTCTCTGTTGTCTCCCTGTGCACACGCTTGTAGCCGTTCGATACATGTTTCTCACAAGCGCCCTTTTCGTGTGAGAGGGGTAAGAGGAAAGGTAATGAACTAGGATGTTTTTACTACTTGGCTTTCGATACCACTTCGTAATGTTTTCTGATAGGCTAATTTGCACGTTCAGAAATGGAAGGCAGTCTTCTTTAAATGGACCGTAATCACAATGGCGTGAAACCTAAAAGCATTAAAATTTCTTTGGAACTTCGAAACTGGAAGGATTATGATCGTGGAACGAAATGAACTGAGACGCTTAGCCTGGTGCTATTTGTTGCTGTTGAAATAAATATTGGCACTTCATCGTATTCCAACGTCAATAATTCTACCTCCAAGTAATCGTAAACTACTACCGAGGTTGGCTCCCTTTCTTTAGAATTAAGACGAAAGATTTCATCGATACTGCGTTCATTCAATTCGTTGTTACCGCACTAGCGACCTCTCTTCTATAGAATATGCTAAGCCTTCTAGGTTCAGCAGCCAAGCATCTTTCATCACAGGCTCCTATCAGACGTCCTAGTAATATTGAAAGGTTTCCTAAAGTGGATACTACTTGCCACTTTCGGTTCCTCATGATGATCAATTTGCTACCAGGAAAGAAAGCCTATTACCACTCACAGACGGCCGGAAGGTGTTAAAACTTGAATGCTGCACAACGAAAATTTGTTGCCTAAAATTCCAGTTTCTACGTTTCTTGGAAATGCAATACCGTGCATATCTTTTATCAGTGATCGGAAGCACTACATGGGAAAATCTAGACCTAGGCATAATTTATTCCATGAAATACTAATTAACAGATAAATGAATACTAAGAATGACTAGATATTTTATTGATCCACTCTATCCGTACATCTGTTATTCAAAACACAGTCACTCTTCTTGATTCCACCTGAAACTACCACATAGTCAAGTTGTGACCTTCTAAAGTCTTCGTAATGATTTCCACTACAAAACCAAACCACATCATCAACCGATCGAGTAGCCAAGACTTCCTTCAGCTACGTATACATATATTCTCACCAATCCCCGTATTCTTTTGGTTGCCTAGTGCTCAGGTGTTTAGTAGCGTTACTCTGTATATCTTAACAACTTCAGACGTCAGCGAAGCTATCAATGAAGAGGCATATATTGTCCAGGAAGAATGTAGTAGAAATAAGGCATAGCAGCCTCTAAGACCACAGATATTAATTTTTATTCCATGAAGAAATTCTTAATGCTCTTAGAATCGGAATGATGAATGAATTGCTCGGAAAACATTCTACACACTTAACAAAGACACTTTTCTTTGAGCGTATACTTAGGCATGCACAACACAGCGTCTACTGGCTGCAGATTTCCAACATCAAGCAGTGACAATCCCGCGATACCAAACAATGTGTGGAAAGGATCCGGCTGAAAAAGTTACGGTTCAATAGATTCGACTACAACAATGTTCAAAATGATTGCATATTAGAGAAGAAACAAAAGGTTACACAGTCCCCCGGTCGGTCAGCAAATCCTCCTGTCTCGTTGTCTTGACAAGCGTAGATAAACCTCACCAAGGCATTCTAAGCATAATTATGTAATAGAAGCAGCTCGAAATTTTTCACATGATACAACAGCAAAAGAAATATCCAACCTTATCAACCCAGTGTAATCGTCTCAATATTGCCAATGACGCAAGTACCCACCACGAATAACAAACATCTGGTAATTTTTCAGGCCGACCTAAATTTGTCGCATTACTTCCAAAAAATCCTGCTATAGGTAGTCCAAGTGAAAAGTTACACTCAAACAACATGTGACGTTTCCACCACCAGGAAACCAGCCAAGTTTCAACCTTCGTCAATGGATTAAAGAAAAAAATAAACGAAAAATTCATGTGAAAAACACACCATTCAATCCACCACTTGCACACTGTCGCTGAGCAAGCCATCCAGCAGTTCGATCTCTGTCAATTGACTCGAGACGCCTCGTAATGCATAATGTTCCGAGACAACAATAAACCTTGAATACTTGTTTATACGCAAAATTAAGGAAAACAAATGCATTTCGTCCTTATTAGCATCTAAATATCAAGACTTTGGTAAAACTGCTAAAAAATTTATGTACAATTGCTTTCGTTCTTTGAGTGGATGTTAAAACTAGTCCTACACTGGTTAATGTCTTGTGGTCACTTTATTCAAAACCTCGAAGGCTGTTGATGTTGGTTGCTGATGACTGATTAGCTGAAGATCCTTGGATCCTCGAGATACTTGGGATAGAGCGTTTCCATTTGGACTACCCCGGAACCTCGAATGAATGAGGGGATTTGTGAGCTCGGGACAGGGTAGAACCACAACCGTGATGGTCGGTCTTACTACCGCTGCGCTATCTGCCCCCTATCCTGTCAATACAATTTGTAATAAAGGTTCACAACAAATAGCTTGAAGAAGAAACCTATAAAACGTTAACATAATTTCATGTTATTAAGAATCGCACTTAGAAAAGCCAAATCTTCGATATAATTTACTTGTCCTGCATGACTTTCCGATCCTGGTCGAGTTCCAAAACCACCATCGAAATTATAGCAGCTTAATACGAAATCAACAGCTCTATCGACGTTGATTACGTGTAGTTTATCAATAAGATATAAAGTCGCAACGGCACAAAAAGAAAACCGTGTGTCCACCTCATCTGAAACGAGTTTAAAATAGACAAAGTCATGATCTAATCCGGAAGCTAGGAAGATGAGAGCGGGTCAAAAGGCACATTATTCCTACTCATATTATTTCCTAAACTAAGATAGTGTTGTTCGATGGAAGTTTATCATACGAAATGCCGGCGGAATATTCTAATTTCCGGTTTTTTCGCATAACTACTTAGCAACATGGGCAGCTTTTAGTTTGGGAATATTCGCATATGGCTTGATAAAAGTGAATAAGCGAGTAAGTTCCTTTTTCGCAATCTAGATTTTTGGTCTGACCATCACAGTTCGCTCTCAAATAGTATATTTGAAAGATTTTTGTGGGTTTTTCGAGGAAATGCTTTTGCAGTACTGCTGCCAACAATGTAATTCATTCCCATGTGAAAATTCGAAACCTGAAGACGACAGTTCGTGAAGCTTTGTTGGATCTGCGAAATACTAGGCTTCGTATTGGACTGTGTCTACCATGGTCTGCAAAGACTTTTGCGCTACAACACTTTTCTTCTTGATAAGCTAACATTAAAAAGGCTAAGTTCCAAAGTCTTCTGCAATCTTATCTATATATGTGTCTTCCCATCAACTATCTGTTTTGTTCGGAACAGGTCATACTGCAACGACTACTCAGTTTAGAGGCGCCCAGAATTCCCAGATGGTCATCATATCGTCTAAAATATTCAGAACCAACCGCAGATTACTATTGTGAATGTTTCAGAAGTGGAACCAGCAAGTGTATGACGTAATGGAAGTTGGAATTGACCTCACTTCTATTATCAAGCTCCTGTCGAGAGGACCATACTACCAAAATTTCTTCCATACTAACTTGCAAAGCATCTCATTAATGGATAATCGGGTTTCGTTCACAAGGTAGACCAAATACATTGCTGTCCAACTACTAATTGACTAGTACCCAAGCAGAACGAACGGCTGAAAGCTAGACAGGATCAGGCTCATCGAAAACTAGAACATTCCGTCATAACAAAAGTGGCGAACTTTAAGTCGACAAAACTCGTACGGAATAACACACACTACATTAAAGTGCGGTGTCGACAAGATGAAAAAAGTATCAAAATAAGTGAAAAAAGTACTTGATATATCACCACCAAAGCTTCCATCTTCATTCTGTAGACGTCGCACATACTCTGCAATCGAGTCCAGATCAAACCCATCCAGTGCATCATACATAGTTAAAATCTTAAAATCATATTCTTAGGGAGGAAACAGTAGAGCAGAATGTACACAACTACATATCCGTTCACTAATTCCTTAAATGAAATTACGAATCCCCGTGGGAATCGCGAGTCGGTGCGAAACCACTTGTAAGTAGTAAAATATATGCTTTCTAACTCACTAACCAGCTCAAATCATGCAGAATTTAATTCATATTCCCATCTACAGATTATCAAACCGAAACTTTACAGTGAAATATGCATATACAATCACTTTCTATCTACTGCCTATTCTTTTTCTCACGACAGGGTACGATGTGCAATAGAACTACAGTGATGCTGAGGTATTTTGCAAAACTCTGGACCACAGGTGTGTGCGACGGGGATCAAACCTCATTATTACCCTTTCCGGGGGCTAACTTTTTCACCACCACACCATGTGTGTCCTTCGTTCGGCTTTTCTTTCCGCTAGTTTTCTAATCTCATTGACAAGTGGTTGCTGATGGCACTGGTAGATAGAAAAGTAGCTGAGAGAAAAGCGAAATGATGGACACGTATAGTGTGGTGATTAACATGTTAGCCCCGGAAACGGTAATAAAGAAGTCTGATTCTCGCCGCAGACACCTGCGGTCAGGAGTTTTGCAAATATCTTAGCACCACTGTAGAGCTCAGACATAACTTTCATTACACATTTGAATCCACGATGTGTTACATGAATTTCAAACCTCTTACTCATGACCAAATACAACAATAGAACTAGCCACTGATACCTGTACGGCACTTAGTGTATGAAGCAGATGACTGTCATGGTGTGCCGCGGGTGCAAAACCACCGTCAGCCCGCTGACACTCCCTGGTATATTGAACGATCTCATCGCGACTTAATGCATTTGGCTGAACTGAATATGCTTTTGTATCAATCATGAAGGATTTAGTAACTGCGAGCACTCATTTTACACAAACAACCGAAGGTTCTGCCTAATAGGGAGACGAAAAGATAATATATACCTGTTCCTGTTCTCACCAACAGTCAGAAATCTTCACTGTTGAAGCACTTTATTAAAAGTTATATGGCATAGGAACAACTCACCTCATGCAGAACACAGGCAGCAGAGACGCACCAGTAAATACCACTAAGTCGCAGCGGCTCAGCCATGATGTACTCCTGCAAACACCAACTAACACTAGGCGAAAGTCATAACATAAGAGCAAAGGCTTTCAACTTTCATAAGTAATGTCCTGACCTAACAACTTACGTACGAATCCTTATCTTTTTCATATCTTGTGATGAACTTGAGATGAAGAACTGCCAGAAATTCGTTGGGTGCAGTTTTGGGAATATCCACATCCTTTCGAGCTATATCAAGGAAACCGGCGAATGACTGTAGTAATTGAAGATAATGCGTTGAAATATCCGGTTTTAAAGCAAAAGACTAACCATTCTTCAGTCCACTGAATTAGCCCACTTCCGTTATACCTTGTTGTCTGCAGAAAATATGTAGCATATATAAACAAGACCCTTGCACAGGAACAATAAATACTAATGGGGAAACGTCCTCATCATGAACGATACGCCCACAATTTTATTATAATGTAGTGAAAAAACGGAAAGCAAAAAAACAACTGTACAATAGAAAAAATAAGATACAGACGTTCTCTTTTTGGTAACGCCATATTAGGAAGGAAAGTGAGCCATGCAAGGCAATGATAGCAAAAAAAATCAATACTCGTAGAATTGCTGAATTCTTACATAATGCTAATGAATCACCGTAAATAAGAATGCAAAGCGTTCCTTGAAAGATCACATAACTTCTACAATATTAGAATTATGAGCACTTCGTAACGCCTTTGAGGCGTTATCAATGAGTCACGAACAACAGTTACAACAAACAGACGAGCCAGATTCCTCTCAGTAGGAATGATTTGAACTATACCTACTTCGTAGATAAGGATTGTAAGGTGTCATGTCACCCTTTTGCCATTCTGACCACAACAGTTTGGCAAGGAAAGCATGAAATGCGAGCAGCAAAATCACTGAAAAGAACCGATAACGAAGGACTGTTATACAGTTTCCCATAGAGTAATTTGAAACTTTCCATATTTTGCCGAACTTTAAACTGCACTGTATTAAACCCTTCGATATAAAAAAGAACACCGCAGTATTTTGAAAAAGCCTATGGACTTCTCTGTTCTTTAGAATCACATCCATTTTAGAGGAGGGTTCAGTAGGCGTACCAAGGAAAAACCAAAACCACGTCGGCAGTCCACCCATTACTGCACCATGTCGATGGAGAGCCAAAAGTTCACTTTCATGAGCTGGTGCTGATACTACTTCAGATACGTGAATGGTCGACCTAAACAACTACACATTCTACAGATATATATATATATATATATATACATACGTGTTTGTACATGATATATATACACATATATATGTGCACATGTATGTGTGCATGTATATGTATATATACTTTTTTGCAAATGACAGAATACCTGAGTTGCTCAAGATGTTTGCGGCTAGTTGCTATGTATAAAATGCTTGTTTCTGGCTTTGTAATCTAAAATAATGCTTTTACTTACACGACAAACAATGCTTTTATTTACACGACATCGAGGTTACTCATAAAAAATAGAACCTTAATAGGAATTTTCGTCGGAGACTTCCCAAGAGTGACGGGTTCACCCAAACACCCTCCTCCACAAGCATATAAGGTAGCCGTTGCTGACACCTATACAAGTTCACGAATCCTTTTCGAAAATAACTTCGTATGCCAACAAAATTTTGATTTGGATAAATAAACGGACAAATTAGTTACCCATTACCTAGGAGGATGGTGTAAGACAAACTACTTATTACCTCAAAAAATGGAGTATTATCCTCAGCAATGCGCACTCGGGCGCTAGCATCGCCAACTGCAACACCAATTGGTAGACCGCCGAAAGCTAATTCGCGATGTAAATCAGAAAGCGAGAGTGAGACTTCAAGATGAGAGTCGTGATATGAGGCAGCAGATAGCGAGAGTGTAAATGCCTGGGGAAAAATGCAGACGAAGTTAAAAACGTAGCGAGAAAACCAAAAGAAAGCGAACTTGGGCTAGCCCTGTTGCTCCTGATTTCAAGATCGACGCACACCCTCTTTTATCAAGTGTCAGCAGCCAAATTTCGGCCATGTGAAGAAGGTCCTCGACGTGAGTCCAGTCCTTAAAACAAAACACACAACTGTAAGATACATGTTTTATTGAATTAACGGAATAACACATGACGTGATATAGAACAAACCTGCCACAGTTTCGAGGGATATAATAATGTTGAGTGTTCACTATAGCACCTCTCATTTCGGCGAAGTGATAACTCAAGAGCCTAAGAAACTCGCAGATTGCCCAGAGAGGAAGTAAAACAAATGAAAAGTTGCGGTACAAATATAATACCTTTTTCTTGTCCTCGGGGAATGAGTTCTCCAGCAGAGGAGCTTTAGTGTTACTTAAAAGAATGTATCGAGTGGCGTTTATTTTATCGCCATTCAGTACGTTTGGCGCTTTCGATGGCGACAAGAAGAACGTTACCATGTTCAGCTTAAAAAAAAGATGACAAATAAGCGTAAACTTACATTTAAAATAGCGCCGTCACGTAAGTGAAGTGATACATCCTACTTTATCTATATCTCCAAAATTAATTAACGTAATTTTAATATAGGATCGAGGGCGCGTGTGGCGCAGTGATCGGAGGCCCCTGCAATACACATATAGGCGATCGTTTCCCGGGCCAGTGGCTCACCAAGCCTTCCATTCCTCCTGGGTCGGCAAATTGGTGCCAGACTTGTCTGGGAGGAGAGCAGCACTGACTCGCTACATCGGTAGGCCACCGCGAGCTATTGTAAAAGTCAGATATTCATTCAATCACCTCTAACGATGCTTAATGAAGTCGAATGCATGGCGCATCCTCAGAAATTGATCAACGCTGACAACTTTACCCTTCATCGTTTTATCATTTAATATAGGACCACCAAAAACCAGTACAGTATTGATTAACAATACACAAACGAGACATATCAACATTCGTAGTCTTGTGAAACGGAAAGAACCGATGTTTTGAAATGAAACAAGAACTGTTCCGGATTCTCCACCAACTTCACCAACCTTCTTCCATGCATTTTTATGTTCTTCGTCCATCAGAAGTGGTGAAGTTCTACTGATACGACTGAATTCAGCAATAGCCTTTTTGGAAAGCTCATTAAGTGCCGGCTTCGTATCTATTGCCATATTACTGGGAAGTTCTCGCTGTTTCACAACGCAAATGAAGCGAATCGTTTCCTCCCTTAACTAATGAAAAAATAAAATGAATTGCGGTAATTTTAGATACACGCTTCCATTGTAACATTCTAGTATTCGAACAGTGTGTCTCAGTCACCAAATAAAATCGATTTTGAATCGACAAGCACAGGACTGATTTTCCATAGAGCACCATCAGAGAAATAGTATCTTTCTGTCATATAATTCTTCGTATTTTTGTTGAGTAAACGCGAGGTGTTACTGTTCTTTATTCACGAATAAGCTGACGTTTCGGCGGATTTCGCCTTCCTTTCTGTCATAGTCAATGGAGTTCTATGTTGCCATATTTTTTTACACCCTTCCTTTTCAGAGTAACTATCGAATTAACAAAGAAACTGTGGTGATAAAACTGTTCATGAAATAATACTTGAAAAGACCAATGACACAACATTCCCAAGATAACCAAATGAGCGAACGATACTTGATTGGAATAGTTACTTTGAGTTGTGCAGTAAGCAAGAAAGAAAAAAGGCATACGTTTTCAAAAGATCTAAGACTAACCAAATAAACGACCCCATACTGAAGCAACATGTAGCTCCCACTTTGTTTCTATTCTAATGGTGTTATCGAACGCAATTCTCCTCGACAACATTGCCATATTTTCTACTGAGCTTACCAATTTTTTAACTGTACCATATTTACCTATCTTTAATATTAGTCCTATCAACAGAAATAAAACAAATACTGATATACTCCACTTCTGAAAGAGCAACGCAAACATACCTTTGCTGAGATACTATATATTCTTCAGAGCAACGCAAACATACCTTTGCTGAGATACTATATATTCTTCAGAGACACTCGAACACATAACAGCCGAGCTAAGTGATGAAACTTGCAATGGGAAAGTTTGAGTGTACACAATGGCTTCACCTCTGAAAGTAATCTTGGAAGCTAGGCAAAACCTCTAAGTCTGGAATGTTCCAACAAAAAATGATGGAAAAGTGCAATATATGTCCATATGTATGTATACATATGTATGCATATATGCAAATAAAAATGTAACGTATGGAATTTTCACTGTACCCATCATCTATGGAATTCTCACTGTACCCGTCATCACATTTACTGTGCGGATCACAGCACTTATTGCACTTGATACGTTTTCCTAATATTCATTATTCATATTAGCCGGGTTTAGACGTTAAGATGTGGATTAGAGTGAGCGCTGGAGCATGGATCGAACTAGCGTCTTTTCTTCCTAATCGAGGGCACCACTAACCTCTGCGCTATTCCCGCTCCAATATATGGAATAAACAAGTAGTATATTGCCTTCGTTCACAGAAACAGCGTTTTCGCAAAAGGATTACCCTCAAATATCATGCCTCCTATCAATTATCATTGAGTAATCATTTCATTAGGACGGTATCGTCTTCATATGTCAGTTCGACTATGGTCTCGATGGACTTCCTGTTTGCTGCACACTTGACATCTTGCAGGTCAAAGAAGAACAAAGAGCAAAGTTGGCTGCTGTACATAGACCGCCGTTAAGACACAACATCTGCCAAACATGAATTTCATTTTCGACTGTTAGTAACCGCTTGGTTCGACAGCGTGTTCGATAATGTTGCTACCTTCCATTTTCCATGAGCGTTTAACGTGCAAGACTTCGACGCGGACGCGTAAATTGAAAGAGGAAGAATCGCTTAGCTGAAAACATGGACAAAAAAGACGATTCTTGTCTTGTTCACTCCATCTTCGATCCTTTTACACTCATTAAACTACTCGTTTCCTCCTGTTTAGTCCTCGGAAATAATCGTCAATTAGAGCATAGGGTAACAAAAACGAAACTGCTTCTCAAGAGGAGGTTTCAAAAACTCTTCAAGTTTAGCAGAAGTTCGACCTCTCTACACATTGGATCAAGGCATCTAAAAAAGCATTAGCAAGGCAAGGTTGCTGTTGGGTCACCGATTTTCACCACCATGTTTTCTCATAGGTTTTCACACGACCTTGAGATTTCACCTGATTAAACAACACTTCTTTTATAGAAGATTTAGTTGCGAAATGGTTAAGTTGTGGTTATAATTCTATTTCGCACTGGACATAATACAATTCAAAACTAATCATAACCCACGTCTTATTTATTTTCCAACTTTTCGCCTCACGACGATGCATACGTAGAGTGGCGGACATCTTCTTAAAGATAAAAAGATAACATGGATAAGATTTCTCACTGTAAAAACCGCTAGATCTCCTATATGCTAAGCCGATTGAAGAACCGCGAAATATAGATTTTAAACGATAAGGTTTATCGACACAGCCAGCAGCTTGAGAACGGAGTTTTAGTAAATAAGCTAACCGTTTCTCGACTATGATAGCTTACCGTTGGATTGACAACTTTCAGTTCCTCAACCAACAACTCCTTTCTTGTTCGATGAGCGTAGGAAGATTTTATGACACACAAACAATCATCGTCCTATTTTGAAAAAGTGATGAATTAAAAACTAATTACGAGAAAAGTATTCAAAAAAAACTGTGTGCACATGTGGCGCGTACCAAAGCATAGCATTTGATGTTCCGAAGACGACCACTTTTGAATTCAGTAAACGTTGAATCTGCAGACACAGTAGATCCAAGGAATTCCACCTCCACTGAAGGCTTAAAACCGGTAGCAAAGTTAAGTACGTTCGAGCTATTAGATGATAACCTAGAAATGACAAGTGGAGTAACATTCTTTCAACGATTGGTTTGCAAGCTACACCGGACAAAGTGCGCGTAGTTCAGTCGACTGATTCCGTTTTTACCACAACACTATGTGTTAAAGTAGCAAAAAGTCCACTGCGACTTTTAGACACTAAAAACTTTAAGAAGTTTCGAAAGCAACGGCTAAGTTTAAAGCAGACATAATTACCTACATACATATGTTTTATCACCTTAAAGAAATTAAAGCTCGTATTAATGATGTATACTTCTTCAATTTTCAATGTTCAATCCTGTAAATTGATGAACTAACAAAAACTTGACCATTAAAGTGGGAAATAAGGCAAAATTCCCGCAATATCGAATAGGCCACTAGCCAACGAACCAACAACAAGCTTTTGCCAGAAAGTAGAACAATTTGTTGGTACACCATTAGCTCGACGACTAGAAAGAAATAAGAACTCCGTGCGTATACCAAGAAACACAAGAGTTCTATGAAGTCAAAGTAGCGAATTTTCTAAAAGGACCACTCCAGAAGCTCCCGGCATAGCAGACTTGACACATTTGAAGCATTGATAGTTAGGATATCCAATGGTGCTAACAAAATTGTTGTCGAAACTTCAAAATCTCCTCATATTCGCTCCAACACTCTTCATGATCGTAAACTCCGAATTTCGTCCGGTACAGTTCGAATAAAGAGAATTTAGCTGTAGGAAGGACATGCACCTTTGTGATTCTTCAAAACAAACAACACATTCACCATATGCAATGGTGACACATTTCCACCGCCATATCTTTTCAGAAAAAAAAAAGGACACCAACAAGGCACTAATTTACAACGGACCCTAAGTTGCTGTTACAAAAAATAAGTATATTTTAGTTCACGTCACTTTTAAAAAGCGATACCAATGGATATGTGTGAAACCCTTTAATCTTACCTAACACCTAACCTCCTACCTTACCTAATTAATCGAAACAATATAAATTAATTTTCTTGCAGATAAACGAAAGGCTATTGTGATAAATTCGTCTTCAATGAGCTCATTTAGTAGTTTCAGTCTGCTATAAGAACCGACTTTATGCAATAGAAGAAAAAATAACCCTTTCTTCGACCTCATTGCGAGTATAAGCACAAGTAACTACGATGGTATTAAAAAATTTAGTCTTCTCCAATCTTGTTAAATACCCCATTTCCCAAAACTGTTTGGATATAGCCATCGTACTGGAAGTTTTCACACAAAACTTCTTAAATGAAACACGAAACAACTGCAAACAGCTAATGGGAAAGAGATATTCATTAAAATAACACAAAATGTTGTCTCTATGGTAGAGTCTCTTTGACCAACACTTAAAACAGATGTTCACTCTTAAACACCCTACTTTGCTACTTGGTGGTCCATTTTGGTTAAACTTCATGTAATGAAGTGACACATAATAAGGCTACATTCTATGAAAACAATCTTTTTCATCGTCACTTTCTCAGATAAAGAGAAAGTCAAAGTTCAAAAACTATCTTTTAACTATAAATTGCAATGAATACTTCGAAAAACCGTCCTTTAATTCCTAACGAAAACCCGCCGAGGAGAAGTTATTTGTACAACCAGTTGGAACTATTAGCTGCACATTCGCAAAACTTTTGGGCCGAGATAACCCACTTACATGGGAAACCTATGAGGATGAGATATTGGATGAAATGAGAATATGTTAAGACCAACAGAGGGCCAAGTGCAAACAACATGAACGAAAGAAAAAAGAAATTCTCACCGCAACTCGCCATTCACGTCTACGCCAATATGACCATTTCCTATGAATGGCACCGCAGATGAAGCAACACCCACAGATTGATCCTAGAAACAAATCAATTGCCTGCAGTAACTCTGGTTTTTTAATAAGAAAAAAACAAGTCGCAAAATAATTTAAATGTTCTGAACCCCAGAAAGATTACAAACACAATGTCGTCACTTTCTATTTACTGCCAACTTTTTTTAATGGCAGGGCATTATGTGAAATACAACCATAGTGATGCTGAGATATTTTCACAACTCCGGACCGCCAGGTGTCTGCAGTGGAGACCGAACACACCATTACCCTTTCCGGGAGCTAATGCGTTCACCACCACACCATACGAGTCCCTCGTTTCGCTGTAATTGACCTACCATCGGTATCAGCAGCCATCCGTCGATTGATGTGGGGAGCACAAATCGACATTAAACTCAGTTGAGCTCAAGCTATTGTATAAATCACAATGTCGTTACTGTTTATTAATTGTCTACTCTTTTTCTCTTACCGCCACTGGAAAGGTTAACAGTGTGTTCGATCCCCACCTCAGCCACCAGTGGCCCGGAGTATTGCAAATGTCTCAGCATCATTATTGTTATATTTCAAATACAGTGAAAGGATATCATTAGATTTATGGGAAATTCCTGTGATAAAAGACTTTACTAGATCCCACAAACGCATTGATTTAATAGCTCACCTAAAATAGAGTCTCCATCATTACCAATTACTTCTAGCTTAGAAGCTTCTGCATGTTCCATGGCAGAACTCTTGCAACTGTAGCTCTCAACTTAGGACTTATCAATAAAATTTTTCCCTCACAAGAATTTATTGGTAGTGTGGAAAACGTAACATTCAGAAAGTGCTAGGTCATGAACGGTGTGGAAGTTTTGCACAATGACAGTTTTGTGACAAGTATTAGAGTATTACTTCCATATGATTTCTGTGCGGTTGGTCTCTACGTGACATACTTAGTGGAAACCTCATAGGAAGCGGCTCTGAGGAAGGCGAAATCCGCCGAAACGTCAGCTTAATCGTGAACAAAGAATAGTAACACCTCGCGTTTGCTCAACAAAAATACGAAGAAAATTACAAGTATTAGAATGCTTCTACATTCTTCGGTGGAAATCACAATGCTTAACCTTTTATTCACTTCCACTTATTTCTTCATGGCAGACTACTTTGCGAAGTACAACCATAGTAAAGCAGAAATATTTTCAAAAATCTAGCTACAGACCAGATTCGGATCAGAAAACCCTTCCCGGGGGTTCACGTGTTACCACCCACAGTACTATTGAGACCTGAAGCCTGCGTCTTACAATATCTCTGTATAACAATGTTAACTTTTCTTTAGTACCTGTTATTCATTTCCATGGCAGAGTAAGATGCGAAATACACCCAGTATATCGTGCGTAACATGTGGGCCCCGGGAAAGGGTAATCGAATTAGATCTGGCCTGGAATCCAAATTTTGCAAATATCTCAGAATGGTTTTTTGTTTCGTGGTTTCAAAATTTTCGGTTTGGAGAACTCTACCTTAAAGATAACGGAGGTCCCAGACGTCCATCTGCTGTGGATGAATGCACAGCTGTTGGACGACTTGCGGAAGAATCGCTACAAGCATCGCAACTGTTTTCCAAGATATAATGAAAACAAAGATGTCGAAAAAGCTCAACGAATGGACGCCGTGTGAATTGGAAGCAGTTCGCACTATCGAAATCCGAGCATATTTCGCACATCCGACGCTGCAGAGTTTGAACGAGCTGGGCTACGGAACTCTTTATCAGCCGCGATATTCCGTGGACATTTAGTCGACTGACTACCACTTCAGGCATCTCGAAACTTCCAGTGCCACGAATTCTTTAGAAACCAAAACAAGACCGAAACTGTCTTCAACGACTTCATCGCCTTCAGAATTCGAGTTTTAAGCAAACGCAATAAATATATTTGTTCCCTCTAGATAAAAATTTGTAGACTCTAATGATTCTCATTTCGATCAGTACGGTTTGCTTTAGGTGAGATATGCCACTTTAAGGAACAGAAGTTAAAACCTGCATTAACCTCCGAATGACCTAATAGCTACCCAAGTCCAGGCAGCTCAACTTTTGTGGCGCATAATATTATTTCAGAGATAATGAAACAGGAATATATTGTGTGTCTACATTTTCGGAAGATTTTAAAAACGATACAGGAACATTAATTGGGCTATGATTATAAACTTCTCAAAGATGGGATATTGAAAATGTGGTGTTTCCCACGAAACTCTAGAATGGTAAAAACCAGTCATCGTATAGAGACGTTTTGATTCTTGTCGTGGATATAAGTGTTCCTTTTTTATTTTTATACGGCCAGTGCTCACGTCTACTGTGCAGATTCCAGCATTTCTCATAATCGATTCATTTCTTCGTCTTCATCGTCAACAAAGGTCCTTCAACTTTAGGTGTGGCTTCGGCCGCTGCTTGAGGATTTTCCTTTCTACTTGCATGATGTAAAATGCCGGTCGAGTCGATTCTCTTTAGAGTCCTAACATAGCGTTCCCAATTGAACTGCACGGAGCGGCTTTCCCCTGGACAAGTCTGGTACCAATTCCCGAGCACGAAGCGATGATAGGCTTGGTAAGCCCGGAGGGGGATCGAAGGGTGTTACTAGCGCTGTTAAATGAGTGCTTAGATAAGCATTCACACAAATGGGCTTGGCGATAGAAATTTGGAAGCAAGGACGAAAATTTCGCCCTCCAGCTATGAAATCAAAATTGGGATTATAAACCATAAACTCACCAGAACCTCTTGTTCCCAGTTCTTCAAGAATTTCGCCACACACTGACCAGCAGGTGATAACCGTTCACTAGTGCTTAAGAGTCCCATGTAGTACAGCACGAATATCAGAATGCCGACTACAGCGAATAACTCGCGCCGTCCATATCGACTCAACACATGATATATCACCTCGCAGTCAACTCCGTGTAACGAATGCACAAATTTACGCCAGCATAATGACAAATTCATCTGAAACGCTAGTTAAGGACCTTACAAAGCACCTTATAACATGAACAAGTTATAGTAGCTTCAATGCCAACTCCGTCGTACTAAGTGAGAATCAGCGATAAGACCATACAAAACTCGTCGTTTCAACAATCATAGGTGTTTGCGGTGGTGATCGAACACGCCATTACCCTCTTTTGCGGGATAATGTGTTCACCACCGCGCCATGCACGTCCTTCGTTTCACCTTTCTCTCAGCTAGTCCGGTCGAATGATATCAAGCCTATTTTCGAGTGATTCTGGTACTGGTAGAGAGGAAACTAGCTGAGAGACAAGCGAAACGAAGGACCCGTATGGAGTGGTGGCGAACGCGTTAGCCCCGAGAAAGGGTCACAGCGCTTTCGTTTCCCACCGCAGACACCTGCGGTCCGGAGTTTTGCAAATATCTCAGCATCATTATGGTCATATAGCACTCTATTCCCTACTGTACAAATGAGATACTAAGTAAGAGAGAGCACGAAACCAAAGACAAGCTCCTTGAAAGGCTTGCATTTAATGACATTAAGAAACATTAAGGTACGATGAAGAAACATGCGATTCGTAGCCCACTTACCTCTTCAGCTGATAGTAGCTAGTTCCGTGAAAAAAAATAAAAGGAAAGAAAAAAAACTTCCTGCAGATGCGCCGTCTTAGTTCTTTAACAAAAAGCGAAAAGGAAAGAAAAAAGAACTGGAAAGGAAGACCGCAAAGAAATAGGAAGAACGAAGAACAGGAGCGGTACTTTACCAAAATTCGAAAAGAATCACTCCTCAGTATTTAATAAGATTACTCTAAGATTTAACAGATTTGAATTCAATCAAACTTACATTTAAGGTAACCCAACCCAAAAGGACTGGGGTAGTTGCAGACGAAGTTTTTTAAATGACGTGAACTGGTCGGACGCAAAAATAACCGGAAGCTGTGCATGTCGTCTGAGATGGTCGTCATCGAGTGTAATGTTGTGTTACTGATAGAGAAACCAAGTAATCTTCTGGTTTTTTGTAAAGTAGTAACCCTTGTGTTTCTCTGCAATGAGAACTTTGTCCTAATTCACTGTGGAATGTGCTGGAAGACAGTATGTAGTACGAGTTATGTATCCTCATTACATATTCCTTCACTGATGAGCTCACACGAAGTTGGTAAAGTAAGCCTAAGTGATACTCATTCGAGCTGAGCTCCACTGAAAAAATCAGTCTCGTCAGGACGACGAAGACACCACGTCGAGAAGACGAACCACCGTGGACTATCGACTCGGGTCATCGGGTCTAAGGAGGAGGAATACGTCGAAGCGTTAGCCAAATAAACGCTTTTATCAACCTCGTGTTAACTCAATAATCCAAGAAAGTATTGATCGTTAATGCCGAGGCTAAATAACGATTGGTTTGAAAAATATCGACTTACTTTCTATATGCTGAGTAGAAACGTCTTGGCTCTCCAGGTCATTCCAGGTTTGTCCGGATCATTTTATCATCCTCATGTTAAGTGACCAATGAAAGAATACGTATCGATTAGTCATGTTGAGGTTAAAGGAAGGTCGCTTTTGAAGTGTTTGTATCTTCGAGTGCTCACAAACATTACTTTGACCCATTAAGCCGTAATCTGTATAAAGTTGTAGTTGTAGAATGTTCTCATGGACCAGAAAACAGCAGCTTCCTTCCCATATTGAAGGCACGCAAGGACTTTACGTCAGACGAGCCAGTCCACCTCGAGTACCTTCGCTTTCCTGTAAGTTATGAAATTTCCCTTTTTAGCTTATAGTTTGCTTGTTCAGCAGATTTCTTCCTCACTAATCTTTTTTTTTCTTTTCCTCTTCTCTTTCTCATTGTGATAATGTTTCGACTTACTGGTTTTTTTTTACCTTAAAATCCGGTTTACGTTGATTATTTTTATCCGTTGTCTATGTAGTGGTTCCATTTTAGTCACGAAGCAGTTTTCTCTCTTATGGGTTCATTTCCGTTTAAACCTAAGATGACTCATGCCGTCCATTTTCAGCACATACTCGTACGCTGGCAAAAAAATCTTCAATCGCTGTTGATGTGTCGACGTCGAATAACACCGGATGCGCTCAGGATTCGTCCACAACATCTCAACCCTCACATTCCGAATTACGTGCGAATAAGGTGCGCAGTCCCGGAAAATCGGGTTTTTGAAGGTTTTGTTTCTTTCTTAAAGTTCTTATCCCTTTCCCTTTCCCTATCTTTTTTGGCAAAAAGAGGTGAAGAGTCTTAGGTAGCGTTTTTACCAGGTTGTCTTTGTACGAAATTTTTTACGTAGTACGTAACAGTGTTCTTTCCACGAATGTATTGGATTAGGTTTTCAGTAGTACTGTTTTTATTTTTAAGCACGTTTTCTGTACTGCTACTGTTGTGGTAGTGCTAACGAATGTAAAACTCTCTAGCTTTGTGTGAACGAATTGTTATTCTTTGATGTGTAATCATCGATTTGTTGAAATCAATCTGATTGAGAGCCACAGTTTGCGATCTTTAGGTCCTCAAAATTAGTTAACAGTTTAGGGTGAGCCAGTAACGTTGTATGCAGATGGACCAACCGTGAGACCACACTCGGACTCAGCCCTAAGTGTGACTTCCACAACCTCACTACCACCATCGCATGGTCATCTGATGGTGAATCATATCGACAGTACAGAAGAGCGAAGAAGCCCGATGGGAAATTTGTCCTCACAAAGTTTTAGGTACGGGTCTTGACTCTCTTTAGATCGTTAGTTAATCACTATTTTTTCCAAAATACAATCACTTTTTATTTCCTGTCTATTCTTTTTCATGCAATGGTATGATGTGAGTTATAACCGCAATGATGCTTAAATATTTGCAAAACTCCGGACCGGATAGCTTCATTTTAACTGGGTTCATTCCCGATTTGTGCTCCTCAGATCAATCCCATTGACTAGTGATTGCTGATAGCACTTATAAAAACGGCTGAGAAAAAGGCGGAACGAAAGACCTGCATCATGTGGTTGTGAACGCACTAACCCCGAAAAGGGTAATGGCGTGTTCGATCCCCACCACAGTCACCTGCGGTCTTCAGTTTCTCAAATATCTCAGCATCATTGTGGTTGTGGTTCGCTACTTTTTAACCTTAAACATGAGGTGTAATCTGCTTTACGCTCTTATTTTCCTGTGGTTTGTTTGATTTTTAGAATTGTAAAAGGAAAAATCATAATTTTACGCGTACTTACATTCCACCTGGGTATGAGACGGTCTGACAACACTGAAAAGTTACCAAATCGCGTATTACGGAGATCTTTGGGAGAGTTACTGATGTAAGCGGTCCTATACGGATTGGTTTTTGTCCTCTGTATATACAGCTATAGCAAGGATGCTGAGATATTTGCAAAACTCTGGACCGCAGCTGTTTGCGATAGGGAGCGAACGCGTTATTACTCTTTCCGGAAGCTAACGCGTTCACTACCACACCATGCGGGTGCTTGGTTTCGCCTCTCTGTCAGCTATACAACTGAGTAGCACTGTCTTTCCAGTTTACGACTTGTAGTCTGTTGAGAGTGCATCCGCCATATTTAAAAATCATCAAAATACTTCATTCAAATTTTGGCAACCGTGGGGGCGTTGGGGTTTTTGCATTATCGCCTTGCTCAATCTATGTATATGTTGGATTTCTTGTCTACTTTGTAGTGATGGAGCTCTTTTGGATCAAAGATGTAAAGCGGCTTTAAAGACGTTTTAAAAGAGATAACCGACAGTTGCTTGCCAGATTGCCGCAAGATCTGGATATACCTACATGTAATTTTCTGGGCTCTTCCACACGTACAAGGAGCCTTTCTGTTGGAGGTTGCTGTAGTCTACATACCCAATTGCACCCCCCTTCTCATGCATAAAAATGACTACTTGTACGAAAAGTTTGAATTACCTCAGTACAGCGGAGGAAGACCATTCATCAGCCTCTAACTTAGAACAAGGACGTTTTTTGTTCGCTTTTAAGCCATAACCACCATTTTCGAACGTGCCACTTAGTTTTATTCCTATACGACTTGAAATCTCATATAAAAATATTCATGATCATTAGATCAAACAGCAGACATCACGGTGAGATGGAGACTTCAATATCTCAAGGATTCCTCTGGTTTGATTAAGTTTTACTGCTTTGTTATTCGAGTCTTAGTAGTCTGATATACTTACTTGAATACTTGGATGGCCAGTCTTCACTGGTTGGTGAGCAAAACCAAAGTCTGCCCCAGGTCGTCACCACCACAGGCAGTCGCCGCCTTTGTGGATCAGAGGGAGATTTGCCACCATGCGGCTATATTGATACCAGGACGGTGGCGGATCTTGATAATGCTTTACTCTTATCTGGGCTTCCCAATGGAAGCACCAGGCCCTTTCTCAGCTTGGATGACGTTGCTAAGGATGAATCTCCCGGCATATATCGCAGCCCGACACCCAGGAGCACCTCTCAGCCAGGATGAGGCGTTAAACCGTTCGGAGTAGTCTGATACAACCGTATTAAATCTTTCTCCGTATTTGTGAAATATGGTGTAAACTACCTAAACACGACGTTATTGGTCTGTCGTTTCTCAGGTGAAGCACTGCAACGTGACATTTAAGTTCGAGTAAATCAGTAGTTGGGATATATTAATCTCACTTTTTTTCTGAAGCATGGGTTCTCATTGAAGGAGCGTGAAATTTGGTTGGTACATATGTTACTACTTTGCAGTTACCCATGTTTACTTCTTTTTGTGGAATTTTCATGAGGTTTTTAATTCCCTTTTGCAACAGAGTTCTCATTCCAGTCATGAGTTTTTTTTTGTTTCTAATGCGACTATAACGTTATTTGGCTCTCCACAGTCATAGACCAAATTGTTCAATTCCGTTTCAGTGATCCAAGTAGGCGAGAGTATCTTCGAAAGCCGTTGACATCTTCACACAGCATCGGAAACGTCGAATCCTTTATGGACCACTTAAGCGCTCAGTTAGTTTTTAATATATTCAACATTGTTCTCATGTTTTTTATTGAGATTTGTGTATTTTTGAGCTAAAAGTAGGTGATTCAGGTCGTCTACAGCAGTGCAGCAGCGATTTGTTTCGTTACAAAGTCTTCCTGGTCAACGGAGGCAATTGGGATCCTCAATTATTGGTGAAGATAGTAAATTTCTGTCCTAGTATTATATAAACATTTCTTATTTTTGTTTATAGGAGATAACTGCTTAGTGTCTGGTACACCACAACAAGATGAATTACCGCTTCCACCAAATTGGGCTGTAGAAGTGACACCAGATGGGTACAGGTAACAAATAGACTGCTATGTTGTGTTTATTATTAAATCTTGCTTTTAATGACAAATTAGCCACAATATTGTTAGCCGTTGAAGCATCGGAAACGTCGAATCCTTTATGGACAACTTAAGCGCTCAGTTATTTTTTAACATATTCGACATTGTATTCATACGTATTCATTGTATTCATTTAACATATTCAACATTGTTCTCATGTCTTTCACTTCTTTCCTCTTTCATCATAATAGACTAAATCTTGTTATATGTTTCTAATGGCTATTTCATGCTTGATTCCTTCTATGAGTTCAATTTCAACTGAATTATCTTATACCTGAAAGGTGATACTGTATATTAGTTTCACAGCTGTACCCATTTCTTGTGTGTGACGCACGTAGCGCAGTGATCAGATGCGCCCTGCAATACACATGGGATCGGACCTCGTGCCATGCCCACCAAACCTTCCATCTCTCTGGGTTTGGCAAATTGGTACCGGGTTTGTCAGGGTGATAGCAGCACTGTCTTGATACATCGGTAGGCCACCGGGAGCCATTTTAAAGGCCAGCTATGCATTTATTCACCTTCAACGATACTTAATGAAGTGGAATACATAGTACATCCCTATGAGATTGATGAACACCGAAGCTTTATCCTTTTATCCTTTAACCCGTTCCACACTTTCCTCATGTACGTTCTACTTGTCTGTTCGCGTATGTGTCGTCATATGTTTTCAAAGGATACAACATATCACATAGTGGATATGTAAGCTCTTCAGAACTGCGCTCAATGAATTCTAGCATAAACGAATGTAGTCATAAAGAGGCAACGTCATTATAATTCACTATCTTTCTTGATAAATATACACGGAGTTGGTATTACAACATTACTTAGTAGTTACCAAATGCTGTAATACCAACCTCGTGTTAGCTCATCGAGAAAAACAGTGTACTATTGATCAATGCCGTCAACAGAAGAAAGTCGGTCTTGGGATTTGCGACACCAGTCTGGTTTTTTCGGCCGTGTCAAGATTCCCCATAAACCATGTGAAGGTCAGTGGTTTAAAAAAAACTGGATAAGCTATACTGACAGACTTACGATGTCTCGTTATGAAACTTTTAGCATAAAAATGAGTATATAAGAAGAAAGGTCTTATCCCTTGTGTGTGCAAGAGCTGCCGTGGATTCAGTCCACGGAATAGAACAAAATTTAGTTTCTACAGTACATATAGATATAGATAGATGTCAACATAGTGCTAATGTAAGAGAGTATGTACCACTGGTCAAGTAAGATTGAAATAACTGGTGCCTTGGTGCTCTGAAAGAAACGATAATGAATGATATGGAAAAGGTTGGTCGGTGTAGTAATACTGAGACTAATTTGTGACGCCTATATTCATGTAAGTGATGTTGTGGCTTCTTTATTCCTCATTTTTGTAGAATATTTTATTTATTTTCTGGTGAGTAAAATGTTTAGGTGTAACGTCCTGTGCCCTCTGTTGGTTTGAAACAACACTATTTATTGTGAAGTACAGCCATAATGTTGCTGAGATATTTGCAAAACTCCGGACCACAGGTGTCTGTTGTGGGGAACAAACGCGGGCCATTATCCTTTTAGGAGGCTAACGCGTTTACCACCACACCATGCAAGTCCTTCCTTTCGCATCTCTCTCAGCTGTGTTTCCTGTCTACCAGTCCCATCAGCAATCATCCTTCAATGGGATTGATCTCAGGAGCACAAATTAGCGTTAAATCCAGATAAGCTGAGGCTGTACTTGAAATCATTACTAATTGTGATGGCACGCAGGCTTTTATCCATAATTATCTTCAGAAATATGAGGATACTTCATCTACTTGATTAATTAAAGAAACATTATTGCGTCAAACATCTTTTTAGGTACTATGTTGATCATAACACCTGCAGAACCCATTGGATTCATCCATTAGCCAGAGAAAACCTACCTCCTGGTTGGAATAAAATTTTTCAACACAATACTGGAGTTATTTATTATAAGTAAGAGATATGTTGTAGATTTCTTATTGGTCGAAAAATTATTAGATTGTTGAGAAGGTTGCTGCTGGAGTTCTACTTTAGTGAAATGGATGGTCGGTCACAAGTAGAGCATCCTGGACTTGCGCAGCCGGTAAATCAGTCCGTTAATCAACCAATCGTGCCGATTAATCGGACGGAATCCATGATGGTGGCAAGTCATCGTGCCGAAAGTGCTGTCGAACATCTCAACATCATACACCATGAAGGTGATGCCCTTTGCTCAGTTTTTGTCTACCTTCGCTTTTTGTTAAAGTCCTAAAGTCTACTTCTTAGATTGGTTTGGGTTTGTTCAATAAACAATGGGTGCCAACTGTTATAAACTTGTTTGAAGTTCTGCTATCCTGCGGTATTAACTTGACTATATTTATGGATTTGAACGATATTGCAAAGCGAGTGATTTGTTGCTACTTAAAATCTCTCGGATAATTCTGATTATCTTAATCATAAATTATTTCTCTTATATTGGTAACCGATACCTTATCAATCTTTCCAACGGCTTAACGCCTCATCGTAACTGGGAGGTGTTCCTGGATGTCGGATTGCGATGTAAAGCGGAGCGATTCGTCTCTCCGGCAGGGTATCCTAAGTTGAGAAGGAGTTTCTATCAGAAAGCCTATACCAGGATTCACCGTTGTCCTGATATTAAGGTCGCATGGTGGCAAATCGCCGTGTTCAATAATGGCGGTGACTGCCTGGGGTGATGGCGACCTGGAGCACACTTTGTTTAGGATCTGGGGACTATTAAAACTCAAGAAAAAGGAATTCGAATTATGCTGGGGCCTGCAAAACTAGTGAAAACGGGCCACCCAAGTTTCCAAGTATTGCTAACCGAGTGCGTGTAGTGCCGGGTTAGGTTAATTTGAAGCTGTCTGCAAACTAAGCATTTTATCTCTCCGGGGTCCTTAGATTTGTACTGGACCAATTTAGGCAGATAACAAACAACATGGGCGCGTGTGGTGCGGTGGTTGCAGGCACCACTGCGACTCGTACGTGGAACCAATCCCCGCGCCCATGGTCCACCAAGCCTTCCATCCCTCCCGATTCGGCAAATTGGTACCAGACTTCTCTGGGAGGATAACAGCACTGGCTCGATACATCGGTAGGCCACCGTGAGTCATTGTAAAGGCCAGATATGCATTCATTCACCTCCAACGATACTTGGTGAAGTCGGATGCATGGCGCATTCATCAGGGATTGATCAACGCTTAGAGCTCTATCCTTTATCCTTTTAACAAACAACAAGATACATAGATTGGGTTTTACAAAACGTTGTGTGAGCCAAATATGTATTCAAACACTTTTGCAATGCTTAAGGGAGCCGAATCAATGACACATGCTTAAAAGGTTGATCTATGATCAGCACTTTGTCTTTTATTTTTCGTGTTTATAATAATTATGGTCGGCGGGATTGGATAGCGCTATTTTTTATTGTTACCATAATGGATGTGTGAAAGTAAAGGTCCTACATGAGATAGTAAAGTGCACTAAATTTTGAAAGCTTTGGTCTTTATTAATAATCTATAGGAAGTCGTGCTTCCTGAGTTCTTAGAAAAGCGTGGATTTCAGAGGTTCCAGAATGGCTCATGATCTACTCCCAGGCTGATACATCACTCGATCATCTTCTGGAGGTAAGACAAAACTTGTTTATCTGTAAGTGGTTTTAAGTTTCCATCAATGTTATGCATATATATATATATATATGTATATATCCTCCCAACGGTTTACCGCCTCATCGTGGCTAGGTGACGCTCCTTGGTGTCGGACTGCGATGTACAGTGGGGGATTCATCCTCTGACAGGGTCTCCCAAGCTGAAAAGGACTCCGGTGTTTCTATCAGAAAGCCTAGCTAAGACAGCCTATACCAGGAACTACCACCGTCCTAGTATCAAAGTCGCATGGTGGTAAATCTCTCTCTGATCCACAAGGGTTGCTACTGCGGTGGTGAAGACCTGGGGCAGACTTTGGCCAGGCTGACCTCGAGACACCAGGGAACCATAATGGCTTAACCAGCAAATCTCCGAAAATTGGAGATTATGGTGGGGCCCGCACAGGCAGTGAGAACGGGCCATCCAAGTATCAAGTGTATATATATATTTATTCGGGGAAGGCGCGTGTAATCCAGTGGTCGAATGGCCAGAGCGAGTCATAAAGACCAGATATGCATTCAGTCACCTCCAGCGATGCCTAATGAAGTCGATCACATGGCGTATTTTTCAGCGATTCGTCAACGCCAAGAGCTTTATCCTTTTTTATAAACGGAATCCATTTGGTTCATTACACAGTTGCGGCCATTTCCATATCGTTTCGTTACCTTGGATTTCTAGACATGTTTCGAATTTGTCATAGAGCTCACTTTGTTTGTAGAAGTGTGGGAAACCCGTCTATATTTTCAGTGTTATGTTAAACGTTGAGAAAATAGCTGTTTATTTTCATTTCCACTTAGTTATATGATATCTTTTTAGTGGGATTTGTTCAATACTATGCAGTTGGAACAATATGAGGAAATGATGCTGAAATTGTACAAGCAAGAAGTTATTGACACAGTTCGAAGGTAGGTGTTCTGTCTTTCCGTTCTGATTTGTTTTGTTTCCTTATAGTTGTGACCTGCAGTGTGGTTCCTTTCCTACCAACAAAACCGAAGGACATCTCTTAAGTTAACTTTTAAAATAAATGCTCATGCGCATGAAAAGGGCTAGTCCGTATTGTCATCTTTTGGCGCTAACATATAATTAAAGTCATATGGCTTATTGCTTAGTCTTTTCCATTTTTCCTTCAAGACCAGAGACTATGACCTATATGGGCAGCCTTTAAGACCAGGAACTATGAGCCATATGAGTAGAATTTTTGTATATTCTCACAGTGGCATAAAAGTATGCATAGGTTCATGTTCCAGCAAATTCTCCTAGAGTTAATAAAGAGGCCCAACTGCGCATGGATAATCATGAGCAGAATTTTTCACATAAAGGGAAGATCATTCTTGTAGAGTGGCAAATATCTTTTCTTAGTGGCAAAACCATGAATCGCCTTTGACGACGACCTGAGAACGGGTTGGCTCCAATTATCTCAAGTCCCCACAACAGCTACTAGTTCTACCAGCAGTGATGTTCTATGGCCCATATGATACATTAAAATGTAACATCTAGTATCAATGTAGTGTTTTTCAAACTAGTTCAGATATGAGCGAATGCGAGCGGTGCTTAACCTAGAAATTGTTCGGCGAACCCAACCACATCCACGTAATGAATGATACTGTCTGTCACGTTCTCCGTGTATTTACGGAATCCGTTCTTATAGATTTGTTACCTAATCATTCTGAGATTTGTGAGGCGCTGAAGCCACCAGTCTAACCAATATTGATATCTGTGATACTGGAAGCTCATCTTCCTGTATATATATCTCATGATATAGAACTGACCTATTGTTTTTGTCTTTGCTCGAATTTTACAGTGCCTTCTAGTGTATATAAGACGGTTTCCTATTCCTTTATTTTTTGTTATTCGTCGAACAAACCATAGGACTTGCCAAAGAATGTGATTACTGTGTTTTGCTTACGTGTTTTTATCATCTGTAGCTTTTTAAGAGGATTCGTGACTTACTTATCTTCAGGCATCTCATTTAGAGTTAACTTCTCTGTCTAAAAGTCTAATATTACTTTTGTATGTTACAAAATTTATTTGAAATGTTGTTATGCTTCCTCATTCGTACCGTTTCTAAGTAATACTCGTGTTATATTTGTACGTTATGTTGGTTGATACATTCTGCTGCATAATAAAGTGTTAAAAATGAAACACTAATCCAAAGTTAAATGTTATGAAAACGTACTATTTGCAGAAGGATTGAGTATGAAATCGATTTTAGCTCAGACTTTCTGTCCTTGCAGGGTGATGTTTCCTAAATTCTTAATTTCTCAAAAAAAAAAGTCTGTGCATACATGAACACGAATGTATCCGATAGGACCATGTGAGCTTATAAGGGATAAACAGATACATTGATATAAATACATTAATATAAATTCCAATTAATGATGATGGGATGAATATTTCGAAGCAGCTGACTGTCAGTCAGACATCAAACGAAAACGTCTTTAGGGTGTGATTCTACTAAGAAGTGTCCGAATCAATTGTGAAGACGATATGAGGGAATGGTCATTAGGTTTAAAGAAGTGAACATAGTAGGTTCAGAAATTCCAAGTAAGTAGACTTTTTAGTCTTAGGATTACTATGGTGCTTTGTCCTGCTAATCATAATGCAAAGGCTACTTTCTACATATACTATAGCCTTAATCTATGTACTGTCGTACAACTCTAAGCCTGTTATTAGCCGATGTGTACGGATAATATAATGCTCCACTCGTACTAGCTCACTTTCCCAATTTTATGCCCATTCGTCTCTCAAACAACAACGGTGCTTTAAGAAAAATCACGTGCTCGTTGAAATAATATATGCGATAATGTTTAACGTTTTGTTTTCTGCCTTCTATAATTTTCATGGTAGGTTACTAAGCGAAATACAACCACAACGTTGCTGAGATATTTGCAAAACTCTGGACCGCAGGTGTCTATGGTGGGACGGGTGATTGCTGTAGCAAAGATCTATAGAAATAACTGAGAGACGTGCGAAACAA